TGGCTGTGAGTGTGCCACTGCACTCCAGTCTGGGCAGCAAGAGTGAGACTCCAACTCAAAAAAAAAAAAAAAAAAAAGTAGAGATTATACTTTCTTCTCACGAACACACTAGTGTTCATGAGAACTGACAATATATTAAGTGATATAGAAAACCAGCAATGTTTATAAAGAGGAATAAAATAAAAGCTTTCTCTTATAGTGCAACTAAACTAGAAAAACATAACAACAAAAACAACAAAAACCCAATCTCTTCCAGCTAGAAATTTTTGGAAATTTCTATATTCTATTCTAAGGTAAAGGGAGAATTTCAAACCAATGCCCTAAAATTTCTAAAAGTAAAAGTGAAAGCACTACATATCAGAATCTATAGGACACAACTGAAGCAGAAATCAGAGGTCAAAGTCTTAAATGCATATGTTTGTTTATTAAGAAACTTAAAAGACTAGAAAAGCACAAATACCATCCAGATGGAAAAAATAATAAAGCATAAATTTATTAGGTAAAATTTTGGAAAACAGAACCAATAATTTAAAGTTCTGATTTTATTAAATCAGTGAAATATCCAAGTGGACTTAATTAAGAAAAAAAAGAGAAAGTACAAATAATAAAGAAATAATCTGGAGAATTTACCACTGAAACGGTAAAGTTTAGAAAGTAAAAAATACCGTTTCATAGACTCTTATGTAAATACATTTGAAAATCTACCTGCATTGAATACAATCTTAAGAAAATACAATTTTCCAGATTTGATCCTCCTGCTAAAAAGAGGAAACTTAAACAGAACAATTTTCTTAGACAAAGCGCTTAAGAAATTATAAAAGAACTAACTCACAAATATGCATCAGTACCAGGCAGTTTCATAAGGGAAAGTATGCCAATCTTTCAAAGACCAGATAATCTCGAAGACATTGAAATTGTCCCCAGGCACAGAAAAAAGAAGGAAAATCTTCCAAATTCCTTTTATAAAGCAAGTATAATTCTGACACCTATATTTTATACTTGGTGAAGTATCATACAAATTCACAACGTTAACACACAAAAGTGAAAACTATATGCCAATGCATTTTGAATATTGATGCAAAAATTGGAAAAATACTGATGCACTAAATCTACCAGCTCATTAATAAGTTGTATATCACGACCAAATAGAATTTATTTCCAGAATACAAGGGTCATTCAAGGAATTTATGAATTTAATTCATCACGTGAATAAGTCTAATGGAAAAATTACTTGAGTATTTCTATACATACAGGAAGATCTTTGGGAAAAGTCCTAGCAACCATTTCTAAGCAAAACACTCAATAAAATAGGAATTGATATTAATTCCTTAACATAATAAAAAGCATGTACTGTTGTACTTAAAGCAACCACTTTATTTAAAGGTTAAACTTTCTCAATAAAGAAAGGATGACAACAATTTTCATTACTATTTATCAGTGTGTTTGAGGCTTCTAACTGGCAATATTGTATTTCTTAATGTGAGTGATTGCATGAATAATGATCTTGTAATTATTCCTTAAACTGTACATATGTTTTATATAATCTTTTGAATATGTATTTCACAATAAAATGTTAAAAATGATGCATAAGGAAACCATCCCTTCATACATTTAAAAGAACTATTTATGTAATTTATGGTCATTTAAGATTTGTGGCTGACGCGTACAAAACCAGACATTTTCAGCAAAATAAAGAAAGCACCATAGATTCAAAGCATGCAGCATGATATAAAAAATGATTCTATGGCCATTTTATTGCTAGTGATAAAAATTTAAATTAGTGGTGTTTGATGTATTGTCAAAAAAGAAAAGCACACTTATGTTTCAGATTTAAGTATAAAACTTTCATCTGCAGAAGACAACCAGTGAAAATTAAATGCAAGTTTCAGCTCTAACATTTGAAGAACCTGGAGGTCATCGCTTGTATCCTTTCAACAAAGTTGGACAAACTGAAAATCAGCACCTTTTCTTGGACCTATCAGAAAACTGAGTTTGCAGGGTAAAATACCACCTTGAAATCTGGAGAGGCAGGTAAATCCAGAGTCACAGCAAATTTTGCTTACCTGGGAAAGAAGCCACTGAAGGCACAGGTTGACAGGAGAACTTAAATGATGTTTTTGATGAATTTTTGAAGGTTGCCCGTGAACTAGCATGAGAGTATCTCCTGGGAAAATCAGTTTTAGCAGACACCTCACACTTTTATGGGCCTTTCTGCCAGGAAACTCAGCAATTTCTGAGAAAGATCCCCCTTATGGCTCTGGTAAGGGGAGGGGAAGAGCAATTATTATAAATGCTCCTGCCTGGAGCTTTCCCTACAACAGAGGTCTACTTTTCGTGGGGATAGACTTTTTCAGAACCTTGTTCCAGAGCTGCAGTAGAAATGAATTTCTCTCACTCTGGCCCCAGTAGTCTTCCTGCCTCATCTCTGGGAGGGGGCATAACTAGACAAGAAGAAACATGTGTGAAAGTCATAGGCCAGATATAAGCCAACTAAAAGTCTGAGATTTAAGTGGAAGATTAGAGAATGTTCCCTCAATCCCCACAATACACCTTACTTCCACATCAATAGGGTTTGGGTAAAATGACAGTGGATTATAGCTGAAAGGTCCATGACAAACAGATTTTCTTTGAGGAGGAGTACTTTTACTTAGGGAAGTACAAAGTGAAGTACAAAGTGAAGTACTTAGGGAAGTACAAAGAGAGACAAGAAAATGAGGACACTAGAGAAACTTGAAGCCTCTGTTACCTATAGTTATGACAAATATTAAACAGAGCCCTACTTCTAGCCATATTAACATAAATCTTCATACCTGAAGTAACTTAGTTTCTGTTACCTTATACAAAATATTTGCCTTTCAACAAGGCATGACAAAAGGTAAGGAAAAAAAGAAGTCTGAAGGGACAAATCATCAGAACCAAATTCAGATATGACACAGTTATTGGAATTAATGGACAGAAAATTTAAAATAACTATAATGGCTATTTTAAGGACCTAATAGAAAAAGAATACAAACATTCAAGAACCAGATGGGTAGTATAAGCAGAGGGATGGAAGTTCTAAAGAATCAACAGAAAATTCTAGGGAGACTTGACATGGCTGAAGAAAGAATCAGTGAGTTTAAATATTAAATAGTAAAAAATTTCTAAACCAAAAGGTAAAGAAGAAAAAAGAATGAAATAAATGGAACAAAATAGTCAAGAACTGTAACACACGTTAAAATGTAGTTGCAAATGATGTATGTGTAGTTGGAATATCAGAAGGAAAATAAATAGACTGAGGAATAGGAGAAATATTTGAAGTAATATCACTGAGAACTTTCAAAATTAATAAGAGACACCAAGCCACAAATTCAGGAAGCTCAGAGAACACAAAACATATAATAAATATATTTTGACATGTAACAAATATACGTCCAAAAGTACTCCTAGACAGATCATAGTCAAGCTGCAGAAAACCAAAGATGAGAAAATCTTGAAAGACAGAAAACACACAGACACACTTTACCAACAGAAGAGTGAGAATAAGAATATTAGCAAACTTTTTGTCAGAAAAAATGCAAATCAGAATAAAGTGTAATGAAATATTTAGTGCTGAAAGAAAAGAAAATCAATCTGGAATTCTAGATCCAGTGAAATTTTCCTTCACAGGTGAAGGTTAAATGAAGACTTTCTCAGACAAATAAAAGTCAAGGGAAGTTATTGCCACCAACATCTACCATGCAAGAAATATTAAAAGATTTTCATTTTCAGACCAAAAAAAAAAATGACATAGGTCAGAAACTTGGGTCTATATAAAGGAAGTGTTTTGAAGAAGGAATAAATGTTGTAGAATAATTTTTTCGTCCTAATTGATCTAAAAATAACCATTCCTAGTAATAACAGCAATGTATTAGATTATTATAGCATATGGATAAAATGAATGATGACAGCAATGCTATAAGAAGTGAGGGAGAAATTAGAAATACTCTGTCATAAGGTACCTACACCACACACGAAGCAAAATAGTTTTACTTGAAGGCGGACCTAAATTGCTTAGATTAGTTAGAAATGTATATTGCAAACTTTAGGACAAAGAGTAAATTATATTTCTAAATGTCTAATGACATACTAAGGAGAAGGTAAAATAGAATCATATAAAATGCCTAATTAGAATCAGGAAAGGCAGAAAAATAAATCTCTGGCCATGCATTAAAAGCTGATTCAAAACTGATCAATAATAATTTTACCTTTGGGAGGCTGAGGTGAGTGGATTGCCTGAGCCCACGGGTTCGAGACCCGCCTGGGCAGCGAGACCTCATCTCTACAATAAATCAAAAAAATCAGCTGGGCGTGATATCGCACGCCTGCAATTCCCGGCTACTCGGAAGGCTGAGGCGGAAGGATCGCCGGAGCCCAGCAGGTCGAGGCTGCGGTGGCCGGGAGCGGCCTCTGCACTCCAGTCTGGGCGACAGAGTGAGACTCCAACTCAAAAAAAACCCAAAACAAAACAAAATAATTTTAAAATATCAACAATCACTTTATATGTGAATGGTTTAAAAATCCTAATGAAAAGAAAGAGACGGTTAAGATGGATTTAAAAACAAAACCCAACTGTGTATTGTCTGCAATAAAAGTTTTAACTATAAAGACACTAATAGACTGAAAGGAAAGGAACAGAAAAAGCTACATCATGCTAAAGCTAACCGAAAGAAGGTTGGAATAGCGATACTGGTTTCAGACAAAGCACACTTCAGAGCAGAGCAAATTGTCAGGGATACAATGGACACTACATAACAAAGAAGCGATCAGCATTCTAAGAAGACATAAGAATCTTGAACTGGTGTACTTGGAGCCCCAGAACATTAAAATATATGAGGCAAAACTGATAGAACTGAAAGGACAAATAGACAAATCTACTATTATCATTGGAAACGTCAACACCCTAATGTCAGTGACTGATAAAATCAAGCAGGCCGAAAAATCAGTAAGGACTTAGTAGATCTGAATATCACCACCAAGAAGTATGATTCCTGCCCAGCTCCCGGGGTGGCGGTGACGACAAGCAGCAGCAGTCCAGCTGGTCCCAGATTTGCTGCTGGACTGCTGGATGGGGCCGTTCTCAGTGACACTACCGGTTTTGGAGAATGCCACACATCTCTGCACCCCCGGGACCCCCGGGACCCCAAGGATCCCGAAGAAGACAGCTTGAACCTAGAACTCCCCTCCCTCCCTGCCCAGACCTCACCCCAGGATGCTGCCGAGGCTGCTGGAGCGGCCCTGCCCGCCAGCCCTGCTTGTGGACTCCCAGTTGGCTGTCACGATGTACCTGTCACTGGGGGGCTTCCGAAGCCTCAGTGCCCTATTTGGCCGAGATCAGGGGCCAACGTTTGACTCTTCTCACCCCCGTGATGTCTACGGTAACCTCAGTCACCTGCCTGGGGCCCCTGTCGCCCCAGGGGGTCCTCCAGCTCCTCGAGGTCTGCCCTGTGGTCCAGAACGATCTCCTCTTCTAGTGGGTCCCGGGTCGGGGTCCTTTTAGCCCAGTGCCATCTCTGGCAGAGACCGTGGAGCGGAATCCCCGGGTGGAGCCGGGAGGCCAGTACCACCCTGCAGGGTGTGAGCCCCAATCTCGGACAGCCATCATTGTGCCCCACGGTGCCCGGGAGCACCACCTGCGCCCGCGGCTCTACCACCTGCACCCCTGCCTGCAGCGCCAGCAGCTTGCTGGCGGCATCTATGTCATCCACCAGGCGGGAAACATTTAACAGGGCAAAACTGCTGAACGGTGAGGTGCGGGAGACTCTCGGCGATGCAGAGCGAGACTGCCTGTTCTTGCACGATGTGGACCTCTTGCTGGAAAATGACCACAGTCTGAATATGTGCGACCCCCGGGGACCCCGCCAGGTTGCTGTTGCCACGAACACGTCTGGATACAGCCTCCCGCACCCTCAGTACTTCGGAGGGGTCTCCGCACTTACTCCCGACCAGTACCTGAAGATGGAACGGCTTTCCCAGTGAATACTGGGGCTAGGGTGGGGAGGATGGCGACATTGCCACCAGGGCGCGCCGGGCTGGGATGAAGATCTGTCGACCCCCCATGTCTGTCGGACACTATAAGATGGTGAAGCAGCGAGGAGAGAAGGGCAACGAGGAAAACCCCCACAGATTTGACCTCCAGGTCCGTTCCCAGAATTCCTGGACGCAAGATGGGATGAGCTCGCTAGCATCACGACTGCTGGCTCAGGAGCTGGGTCCTCTCTATACCAACGTCAGGGCAGACATTGAAACGGACCCTCGGGGGCCCCTGGGCTCTCTCTGGTCCCCGTTACCCACCTGGGTCCTCGCAGGCCTTCGGTCAAGAGATGCTGCAGCGCCGGCCCCCAGCCAGGCCTGGCCCCCTGCCTGGCCTGGCCCCCTGCCTACTGCCAAACACACAGCCCTCTGGAGTTCACACTGACTCCTCCTTCCTGCTCACCTTAATCATGAAACCGAATTCAAGGGGTTGTATTCTCCCCACCCTCAGATCCTCACTGTTTTTAGAGGGATGTGGGGGAGCTGAACTCCAGTGCTCTGCTGGGGGGCAGGGACCTCTCCTCACTGCTAGACTGGAGCTGGGCTCCTTTAGACCTGGGGAGGGGGGAGCTCCCTCTTTCTAGGGTCTCCTGCAGGGTTTATGACTGTGAATCCTTCATGTCATTATTTTATGTGATGACTCCTGGGAGTCCCCGGCCCCTGGGGTAGGAGCAGTGCTGGACCCCAAGCCCCTTCCTCTTCCACAGAGAAAAGCGTGATCTGGCTTCTCCAGGACTTCTGTAAATATTTATCTTATTTATGGTCCGGGAAGTGCTTTTGTGAAGGTAGCCCCTACCTGGGTACTTTCTGCCAGTGCTGGAGTGGCTCTCTCTTATGGTCCTGGCTCAGGGGGCTGGGATTTTGATATATTTTCTAATAAAGCCTTTGTCTCGCCTCAAAAAAAAAAAAGAAATATGATCTAATTGGCATTTGTAGCATACTTCATCCAACAGCAGAATATACGTTCTTATTGAGCTTCTATAAAAATCTACCAAGATAGATTACACTTGGAGTGATAAAATATGGCTTAGCAAATTTAAATCATGCCAAGTATGCTCTCAGTTTATAAAAGAATTAGACTAAAACGCAATAATAAAAAATAGTTAGAAAATTCGCAATTACTTAGAAATGAATCTACACAATTCTAAATAATGGAGACATCTAAACAAAGGAGACATCTAAAAAGAAATTTAAAATTATCTTGACTAAATAAAAATGAAAATATAACAAAAATGCAGCAAAAGCAGTGCTTGGAGGAAAATGTATAGCACTAAATACATATACAGATGATCCCTGACTTATGATGATTCAACTATGATTTTCCAATTATGCAATGGCACAAAAGTGATACACATTGAGTAGAAACTACACTTTGAATCCCATATGACTATTATGTTTTTCACTTTCTGTATAGTACCCTATAAATTATATGAGATATCCAATGCTTTATTATAAAAGTAACTTTGTGTTAGATGATTTTGCCCAACTGTAGGCTAATGTAAGTGTTCTGAGCATATTTAAGGTATGCTAGGCTAAGCTATGATGTTCACTAGGTTAGATGTACTAAGTGAATTTTTGACTTACAATATTTTCCAACTTATGATGGGTTTGTTGGGGTGTAACTCCATCATAAGTTGAGAAGCATCAGCATTAGAAAAGAAGAAATACTTATTATTAATAACGGAAGTAAATTGCTTTGCTTCAACTGCTATATTACATACTCATTTGTACCTATATGCCAATATAGGACCAATAAAAAATTGAACTTGGAAATTTAAAAAAGCAATACCATCAAAAAAATAGCATCTCAACCTTGTGTTTGATAGATCAGTAGGGTGACTATAATTAACATTAATCAATTGTACATCTCAAAATAGCTAGAAGAGAATAACTCAAATGTTCCTAGTGTAAAAAACAAAAAAGATAAATACTTAAGTTTAGGGTTTTCCCAATTACCCTGATTTGGTTATATGAATGTGTCAAATTATCATATTTACTATGAAAATATGTATCAATAACAAATAAATAAAACACAACAAATAAGAACAGTATTCCTCAAAATAGAATACTTAAGTTTACATCTGACAAAATATGTATGAGATCTATATGTGGAAAACTACAAAACACTGCTGAAAAATAATCAAGTAACTAAATAAATATAGTCTATGTTCATAGATTAAAACATTCAGTATTGTTAAGATGCCAATTCTTTTTAACCTTATCTGTAGATTCAATGCAATCACAATCAAAATGCCAGCAAGCCAGTTTGTAGATGTTGACAAAATAATTCTAAAGTCTATATGGGAAGGCAAAAGACCTCAAATAAACAACAGGATATTGAAAAAGAAGAAAGTCGGAAGGCTCATATTACCCAATTTCAGACAGTGTGGTATTGATAAAAAATTAAAATTAAAAAACAACAACAACACACTTAGATTAGTGAAACAGAAGAGAGAGTCCAATATAGATTTTTACAAGTGTAGTCCACTAATCTTTGACAAAGGAACTAAAGAAATTCAATGAAAAAAATGATAATATTTTCAAAGAACAGTGTTAGAACAATTTGATGTCTGGAAGAAAACTTGGACTTAGATACAAACCTTATACTTTTCATGAAATTTAACTCAAAATGAATCATAGACCTAAATGTGAAATGTAATACCATAAAAATTAGTGAAGAAAACAGGAGAAAATCTGCATCACCTTGTGCTTGGTGATGAGTTTTTAAAATAGCACCAAAAGCATAATCCATGAGAGAAAAAAATGTATAACTTGGACTTTATGAAAATTAAAACTTTCTGCTCTATGAAAGACACTGTTAAAAAAGGAAAAACTAGGAAAAAAATTTTGCAAAATACATATCCGATAAAGAATTTTTATCCAAAATATACAAAGAACTCTTAAAACTCACCAATATGAAACAAACAAGCCAATTTTTTTTAATGGGCAAAAGATCTGAAGAGAAATCTCATTAAGAATATATATGGACTGGGCTCAGTGGCTCAGCCTGTAATCCTAGCATTTTGGGAGGCAGAGGCGAGTGGATTGGAAAAAAGCTTGCTGGTTCGAGACTGGCCCAGGCAACTTGGTGAGATCACGTCTCTTCAATAGATAAAAAATTAGACAGGCATGGTAGCACATGCCTGCAGTCCCAGCCACTCAGGAGGCTGAGGCTGGAGGATTGCTGAGTCCATGAGTTCTAGGCTGTAGTGCACTCTACCGGTTGGGTGGGTGTCTACACTAAGTTTGGCATCAATATGGTGACTTCCAGGTGACAGGAACCACCAGGTTGCCTAAAGAGGGGTGAACGGGCCCAGATTGGAAACGGAGCAGGTCAAAAACAAAGAAAATTAGAGAAGTTGTCAAAACCAAGAGAAGCCTAAAGAAATATGAATACGAAATGTGATATTCTATCCTGAATGGGAGCATGGGATAGAAAAAGGCACTTGGGGGATATGATGGAAATTAATTGAGAGAGACGCCTTTTAAGAACATGGTAAAAATGAAGTCCTTCACAATGGTTACAGGAAAAATGAGGATAAGTCACTATATTATTGACTAATTTGATTTAGCACTTATTCCATTTTGTTACCAAATAAGCAGTGGCATCTCATGTTATGGAACTCTTTCAGACATTATGGAGAATCATAAAAATGCATAAGAAGCCAGGCGTGGTGGCTCATGCCTGTAATCCCAGCACTTTGGGAGGTAGAGGTGAGAGGATTGCCTGAAACCATGGGTTCAAGACCAACCCGGGCAACACAGTGAGACCTCATCTCTACAATAAGTTAAAAAAAAAAATTAGCTGGTCATGGTGGTACATGCTTGTAGTTCTAGCTACTTGGAAGGCTGAAGTGGCAGGATTGCCTGAGTCCAACATGTAGAGGCTATGGTGGCCATGAGCGTGCCTCTGCACTCCAGCCTGGATGACAGAGTGAGACTCTGACTCAAAAAAAAAAAAAAGGAAATAGAAACAAACAAAAACGCATAAGAAATAGTCTCTAAGGACATATAATAGTTTAAAGACCTTTTAATATACAATTTCTATGATGTTTACTTTCTCCTACAAATCCTAATATTTTTATCCTAATTGAGTCAGTAAATAAGTTGAATTGTTGCCTTGTAAGGTTTTGGTGTGAATTTATATATTTTACTTATGAGAAAGAAAACGTGTTGTTTTTTTCTCTATAACACTATTGCTCAGTTGATGCTGAGCTAATAGTACTATTTTTTAAAATTAAAATCTAACTGTATTTCCTTATCTGACTAGAACTAGTTTCTCATTTTTCTTTTGTACATAATTAATTCAGTTTTCAAATACGTGGCAGTTCCTAAAAGTGTTGTGAAATTCCAATATTTATCCTCAGCCATGATTCTCCAAATGATGTATTAGCCCTTTCTTTTGCCTGGAGGGTTTTAAATGCTTCAGTATGACAGATTTTGGTACCAAATGAGGACCTCGATTTCTAGGCAAAATGATATTCCTATGTTGTGATCTCTTCTGTCCAGTTTTACTTTTACTAACAAAAGGGCAATACTGAGCTTTTTATATGATCATTGATTGCTAGCAGTTTGTTTTGATATTTCTAATACAGAGTTTTCACTGATATAAGAAGGACAATGGCAAATAGGAGCAACATATATACGTACTCATTAGGTTAATTTAGCAAGGAAAGACTCTCAAGTATGAAAATAAAAATAGGCAAAAGATCCTTTTTAATTATCTCTATAGTGAGAACAGATTTAAACTGGAAGGATTTGTACCAATTACGCAAAATACTTCAATAAGAACTAAATGAACATACAGTATGCATAACACATATAGACTCCTTGCTTTATTTCTCTTTTTTCCCCTAGAAACATCGATGCTTAGAAGTAATCACTTTTCAAAAAAAATTTGCTAAGTCTGTAATGGAAATGGAAATGTTATCAGTTAACAAGGAATAGTGTTAGGAATAGAGTGGTGGTTTCCCACAGGAAATCTATTTGCCACTTCCAGTGTGATGTCAAGGGCAGGTTAATGAGATTACATCTTGCTAAACATCCTGAAACTCATCACTTACCATTTCTAAATTAGGTGGCAATTATCAAGCAGCTTTATCTTGTAACACTAAATCACTTAGATCTCAACAACATTGTTTCTCAACAATGCAATTGCAAATTTATCTATAAATACAGTGAACAAAAAGTTTCAGAAACATTATATTAGCCTGCTGTGTGAAGCAACATGGAACACCTCTCCTTACTCCTGTAAAACTATACAAATGCTTCTGTTGGATTCACTGTAGATAAAATCATCAGGAAAATGTCTTCTGTCAAATTGTATCTGCTATTCAATTCAACAAACATTTAAGAGAATATCATGTGAAAGTCTCTATATTGGGCAATTTGAGTGCTACAAAGACAAATGAGCTAAGACCTTGCAAGTTATGGCCCTAAGAGAATTGGTTAAATGGTTTTTAGTAATAGAAAAATTGTCTTACA